AGAAAAAAGAAGAGGGGAGGTTGAAGAGGGGGCTGGCGTGACAGGAGGAACGGGCGGAAGGAAGAAAGTGCACCACGGCGTGTGTCTGAAAAAATAGGCCAAGCCAGCGGAGTCGGTGAACTTTGCTCAGATACTTCGACGGGCATACAACGAACATCAGCAATCCGGATGGTTTCCCCTTCGAGGAAGCAATCTGCTTTTCAAGAGCTATAGATACGCGCGACTTGTAACTTGTAAACCGCGCGCATGCCCGCCGTATTAAAAATTTTAAATATTATAACAGTGAAAATTGCGTTGGTATTCCTCTCCACTGATCTCGGTTTTTGTCATGCTTGTATTGTATTCGATGATATTTCGAGTTGATTCTTTCCTAATTTTACGCAAACAAAGTATGTTACTGTTCAATCATTCGCTTTGGATTTGGTGATTTTCACAGGAATGAAACTTGCGTGTAAGAAACAAAAAGCTAAGTAAAAATGAGACACTGTATATATAGGATGTAGCGAATAAAAGAACTGTCCGCGGTAGAATCCTCGAGTAGAAGAAACGCGAAACAAGCGGAAAACAGTAGTATTATGTCAGGAAACAAAAAGCAAGGAAAAATGAGTAATAATAGCGAAAGCAAGAGGATTCTTCGGTATGTTTCTGTTGATAATCTAGCTGTGTCCAACTTTTAAAACTGATTCTACGCGAAAGATATCACGTATATTACGACCAAGTAGAGTGTGTTCTTTATGGCCAGACGCGGAGCACATACATATATTTCTCTTGCTTGTTAATTTCAAAATATATTACTTCGTTTCGTGTATATATTTATCTTTGAAACAACATTGTAATTATTAAATTAAATTAATTATTTGTATATTATTCGTCTCTCGACACGAGGAACAAAATAGTCAATAGCAATGGTATTTAACCCAGTAATTAGTATGGAAAAGAAAATAGTTACAAAATTATAAAAATAAATTAAATTTTGTCCATACAACATACTAGAATGAAATGGAGTAATTTGGAAAACTAAAATATTCCGTAAAAGAAAAATCTAACATAAAGCTTGGCTTTCTATTCACGTAAAAGATAAAATAACACACGGTTAAATCAAATCTGATCCAAGGATTAATTTCGAGATAAAATCGAAACGCGAGTGGAAACGAATTTAAGGACGAGTTTAAAGAGTGGAATTGGTGGAAGCGAAAAAGCATAGTTCGTAGTCTTGTTGTACGTTTGACTGAATGAATCACGGTATAGAGTTGGTTAAAGAACCAACCAGTTGTCTACGTGGTATAGCAAGTAACTGAGATTTTCGGTAAGATGGAAGAGAACTACGTGGATGGACAAGCGGGATAAGATTTAGCGAGAAAGAAGAGGGTGGTTGCAGGGTTGGTAACGGTGCTTCGGTCTTTCCCATCAGAGACAATGGTAGCAATTAGTGGCGTGTAAGATTTCAGCCCGGGGCTGCAGAGAAAGAGAAAGAGATTCTCTGATTCTCAAGTACGTTCATTCAGGGGCTGGTCTCTTTTTCGCTCTCTCGACGTGGCGAAAGAAGAGGCGGAAAAAAAGGGGGTCACGAAGTTACTTTAGAAACGTACATTCTCAATTGAGCCCTCAAAGATCCATCGATCCACTTTCTATCCATCAAACGTTACTCCTGTCAAGGTCCTGTTTGAAGCAACAGATATTAGGTATCGAGGCTCCGGTAGTTCGAGAACTGCCGTTTAAAAACGAACGGGTCGAGAGTCTTGCAGCTTCGATCCGAGGAATATCGTTGACACGATAAATTCGTTGCATTCATCGTAGCGTTTGCTCGATGTTGTAAATGAAGTCGCGAAGGAATAAAATTTTATCCCTGTTTTAAATTCTAGATTTCCACCGGGTATATTTCTATAATTAAGATATCGATCAGCCACGTGTTCTATAATAAAAATTATGAGATATATTCTGTGATATAAAAATAGAGTAAATACTGCGCTGCATTGCGGATTTAAGATTCGTTAAAGTGTAAAGATTTAAAAAAAAAAAAATTTCAATTCCTCTCGAGAATCTGTCGAATCTACTTTCGAATTTTTACAAATGCCTTTCAGATACACAGAAGTCAAGAGTCCTGTGGCGTATGTAGTGCGCGTCTTTATTGTTACCAGTGCGCAAAAGCGCATTGTGTCTTTTGAGAATCAAGAATGCAAGGGTAACGCATGCGGAATGGCGAAATAAGGACCAGTAAGTAGAGGATATCAAAACCGGGTCAGACCAGAGCGGACTGCCTGCCTCTGTTTACATTTGTGCCACTGTGTCAAGGTAACCGATGTTACATATATATATATATATATATATGTACAAATCAAGAGCAGTTGATTAGGGACGAGAGAAAAAAGAAGAAAGGAAGAAGAATTTCGTTAGTTATCTCTGTCGTCGTGTATTATTCGCTTCGAAGTACAATTCACAAGAAATAGAACGGTCTTTGACAAGTGATTCCGTTGGGAAGAAACAGCTAAACCCGAAATCAATGATTTGAATTTTGACTAATTTCGTACTTGAGTTTTTCATACATTTTTTTAATAATAAACTTTCGAATTATTTTACACAAATGTAACAAAATGATAGAATCGTTTTCTTCTTTTGAATGATCTTTTTTTAAACATTTCGATAAAGAGATTTTCGAAGCTCTGTATTTGTATGTCAGACACGTTATAGACGCGCTATAAGAATGAATCTCGAATTTTAACAACCGTAAGGCGCATCGGTTATCGCTAAAAAAAATTTTATACGAATCCGTTTATCGTTAAAGGCAATTCAGAAAGTTACGAGATCGGAATTCCCGACTCGCCATGAATAATTCACCATGTGAATTTCGCTTGTTGTTGGCAGCTCGTACACACGTCTCGACTTATTTTACTCTATGAACATAGTGAGTTATCTCAGAGGTGATTGTCGTTGATCCTTCAGTTGCCAAAATGAAAATAATATAGTTCGATAAACGTTTATGCAATTTCTTATTTTCCTTTTTTTTCTGTGTCACTACTTTTTTTTATCATCTTAGTAGAAGAATTACATATACATTACATATAATATTTTCACCTCTTTCGTTCGATATTTTTACAGTCCTGGGATTAAACTCGGTCAAATAAACATTCTCCTT